TTATTGCTTTTAAGGGGTGCAAGGGGGGAGGGCGTAATCTTTGAAATTTATTGCTTTTAAGGGGTGCAAGGGGGGAGGGCGTAATCTTTGAAATTTATTGCTTTTAAGGGGTGCAAGGGGGGAGGGCGTAATCTTTGAAATGTATTGCTTTTAAGAGGTGTAAAAGGGGATGGGGTAATCTTTAAGACTTGCTTTTAAAATGTAGAGGTACATGTACACCCCCATCCAAATAGTTTAGAACATTTCGAACCTGCACTGGAGAGAAAATATTGTTGGTGGGTGTTTTTTTTTACTCAACATTAACGTGTTATTTACACCCATCCACACAACGTAGACCATTTAGGGTGGGGGGGAGGTGTCTTTTGACCCTACTTGTCAGAGCTTCCAGAGGAATACAACACACCAGCAAATAGACAAAGATACTGGATAAGAAACATCCCCATTCGAGAATCATGCTCGGGTCTCCTGCATGCGACGGCTAAGAGCCTAACCACTACATCAAAGACACCGGAAACTGGTGAGTCTTTGGAAACACTGGCGTCATGGTCCGAACACAGCTGACTAAATCCTATTTTTTCCTCACCTGTCTAGATATTGGAACAGCAAAGCAAACCCCGACACCTTTTGTTTGTTCCGTATCCTCAGTCTAGCGGGGTTTTGTTTTGTTAACTAAAAACTTACAGTGAAAACCTGCCCTAACGGTCACTTCTACACGACAATCCCCCTAAAAAAACGACCTATCCCCCAACCGATTTATTTGCCTTATAATAGCACTGTTCAAAACACCCACCTGTCTAGGACAACCACTTTTCCGTACAACAATTGGCAGTCGTCTTGGACAATGTTGACATTTTTCAAACATTTTGGCATTAGGTCAAGTCATAGGCTGGACTTAGATAAACCCAAGTCACAAGTTTGACTTAGGTAAGCTCAAGTCATAAACTTGACCTAAGTAAGCATTGCTTGTTTGCTTTTTTTCTCTCGAACGTTCCCTCCTACCAAAAATCAATCACTCAGACAGCTTTGATGAGTGACCAGGTCGATATATTGCCTTTGACCGTCTGTGCGCTGTTCTGGTTCACTGACAAGTTAACAAACCACACCCACTGGAAACATGTTCCAAGAATTCCCCCATATAATTATTATTCATTTCTTCTAGCTCTCACTGGCAAAAATGAGGCAGGCGTAGGCCCAGAGCAACCTACTTAGAGAACCTAAACCGATGGGTAAAGGTGAAAGATCAGGGTAACGTAGCTTTTTTAAGAACACCCGAGCAAAGGAATGAATGGAGAACCGTGATCGCCGATGTGTGCCGCAAATCTGGCACTTAATGATGATGATGAGTATTATTTTGTCAAGGGAACCTACCCCAGTATTGTTTAAAATGCACTGCAATAATCCTTATGTCCCTTGCAAAACTTTCTCAAGGGACGTAAACGCTACCCTAAAATTTCAAAGATTTATCTGCTCAGTGCGTGTACCTCGTTTTCAGAAACTAAACGTTAGAAACTTTGAGTTCCACAACTTGTCAACCTTTTTCGAGATGAATGCAATTCTTTGAATATCTTGATAAGGACTCCGAATAATTTTACGATTTTGATAGAGCAGATAGGCTTAGAACATAATTTTCTTTCTGACCTCGTGGTTTTTAGTAATTCAAAACGGCCAGAAATGCCAGATATGACTTTGCAGTTCTATGATAGCGAAATTGTGAGGCAGCGTGGTGGAATCAGGCTCTTGTCAAAGTAATCAAAGAGAAGAAACATTTTTCCCCAGGTTTGTGAATTTTTATCAAATTTTTTTTTTTTTTTGGCTCAACACCTTTCATGCCCATTAAAGGACTCATTTCTGTGTGGATTTTTCTGAAAAACGTTGATTAAAAGCACACAAAAATTGAAAGTTCAGTTACCACGGACTCTTAAGCTAAGGAAATAACTAATCTTTGGCGCTATTTTCTCACTAATTTTTCCTCTAAAAACAGGTAAACACCACCTCCTTCATTCTCAAATATCTTGACTTGTATTCAAGATAAATAGATTTTTTTTCAACAAAATAAAGACTAGTGAACAAGCTTGAAGATGATACCAATAACTCTACATACCTAAAATTTGAAGAGAGCCTGATTCCACAACGCTGCCTTACAATTTATTCAAAGAGTTCTGTGGTAGTATTGTTAATATTATGACCTGGCATCTGTCTTTGAGCTCCTGGACTCCCACTGTGGCATCATTATTTATTATAATTTTGTGTAGGCCCACATTGTAGCCTACATGTCACATGTTGGTCGCCTCCTTTTTTACTTCGAGGAGTGATCTCGTCACCAAACGTCTCCAGAAACAATACCCAACTCACTCTTGCCCCGGGGGCTCTCGTGGCCTAGAGACTAAGGTGATCGCCTCTCATTCAAAGGACCATGGTTCGAATTCGGGTAGCGATTTTAATTTTCTTCTCTAAAAGTGTCTCCTTTTACCTCCTTTCCTGCTCTCTTGTAATGTTCTGTCGTCAGCTTTCGTCTCCACTTTCTGCCACCATCCCCTCACCTGGTTTGCTCCCTCTTCTCGGCTCCTGACTCTCTCTGCAGCTTTTCTACTGCTACTCATTGGCTCCTTCTTCGGCTGTCTTTCAGCCACACCCCTGATCTTCTGTTAGGAAAGATCTATACCTAGCCTTCTAGGACAAGGGCAAAAATCTTGGAGGTCCCGTGTTCAAGTTGGGCACGTTAAAAATCCCTTCAAAATTTCATGATCTTATGCATTTGCGAGCGCCGTAAAACACTTACCAAAAACAAAAAATTAATGAATTAATTAAATAAAAAACTGACTCTTGCTCCACCGCACAGGCACGTACACTCTGTTCGCCCCAACCAACGACGCCTTCGCCAAGGTCCCACAAGACGTGCTCTCAGACCTGCTCACAGACACCAACAAACTCGCCGACGTGCTCAAATATCACGTGGTAGGAGGAAACGTGCAGAGCAAGGACATCCGTAATGAGGAACTGGCGGCAACTCTCAAGGGAGAGAAGATCCGACTCAATGTCTATACTCATAACAATGTGAGTTCTTTTTGGTGGAGAGAGAGGGGGAGAGAGGAGGGAGAGTGTGGGAGAGATAGACAGAGAAAGAGAGAGAGAGAGAGAGAGAGAGAGAGAGAGAGAGAGAGAGAGGGAGAGAGAGAGAGAGAGGGGGAGGAGGAGAGGGGGGAGACAGAGAGACACAGAGAGAGAGAGGGAGGGGGTGGGGTAAAAGTATCATGGAGAGAAACAATCACTATTTGAATTGTGTGGACTTTGCTCGTGTTTTGTGTATTGTTGTAAAGCGCATTGAGTATTGTCTATTAAAAATGCTCTGTATATAAGAGAAATTCACTAGATCTATCATTACTATCATCATTATTAAATAATAATATAATTACGATTATGATTGTGATTACTATTCTGATTATGATTATGATTATTATTACTATTTTAGTGTTATTATTATCATGATTATTATTATTATTATTTTACATGTACTGTTATTATTATTACTATTACTATTATCATTCAGCATTATTACTATTAAATGTACTATTATTATAATATTATCATCATCATCATTATATGTGACTGTCCACCCAGCTCATTTCGGCGAACGGCGCGAAGATCAGCCAGGCTGACGTCCAGGCAGACAATGGCGTGATCCATTTCGTCGATGACGTCCTCATGCCCACCTCCAAGACCATCGTGGACCTGGTGGCCGGAGACCCCGAGTTGTCTACCCTTCTGTCTGTGGTCCAGGCAGCTGGCATCGCTAACGAGTTCCTGGGTCAGTCTGTTTGTTAAAGTGTATGTAAGAGACAGGGAGAGGGGGGAGGAGAGACAGACAGCGAGAGAGAGAGAGAGAGAGAGAGAGAGAGAGAGAGAGAGAGAGAGAGAGAGGGGGGTAGATGGAGAGAGAGAGAGAGAGAGTGTGTGTGTGTCTGTATGTGGTATGTGGGTGTGTGTGTGTGTGGGGGGGGGGGGGGGGGGGAGGGATTAGAAATTCCGGGAGAAAGTGTGTGGGGGGGGGGGGGGGGTGGGGGGCTCGAATTTTGTTTTGGTCCTTTCGGGAAAAAATATTATTAGTTTTAAAGTCTGGAAGTAACATTTGGAACAGTATAAGTGTACTATGTATTTGTCTTCGCAGTGATGCAAATGTTTCGCCCTTCAATTTGACACAGAACGTGGGCTTTTTTATATTTTTAAGTGGGTTTCTTTTTTTGTTGGGGTGTGGTGTGTGGGGGTGGGGATGGACAGGTGTTTTCTTTGGGGGTGCGGGGTGTCTTTTCACGTTGTAATACTGTATTGTCATGCATGAAAATCGCGAGTGGTAATGCACGCAAAAAATTAAACCTTATCTTATGAGGTTGTATTAATAATATAGTTGCTCTAAAATTCTTGTTTTTCTCTCATTTTATCTTATTTTACCTTATCTGACCTTATGTTGCAGCTGATCCCCTGACACTGTTCGCCCCCACAAACGCTGCCTTCGACCGACTGTCCAAGTCTGACCTGGACAAGCTGAAGGGATCTCCTGACCGACTCAAAGGTAACGATAGGGGCTCTCGTGGTCTAGACAGACTCAAAGGTAACGATAGCTGGGGCTGTCGTGGTCTAGACGTTAAGTGTGTTCACTTCTCATTCAATAGGTCCCGGGTTTGAATCCAGATAACGACAGAAAATTTTCTTCGTTAAAATGTTCTCCTTTCACATCCTTTCATAGTCTCTAACTATGTTCTGTCGTCTGCTTTTGTCTCCACTTTCTGTCCCCACCTCTCACTCCCTTTGCCCCTTTCTGTGGGCTCCTGGCTCTTTCTACAGTCTTTATACTGTGACTTATTGGCTTCTTCTTACTCCACACCTCTGATCTTATAGTAGGTAAGATCTGCTCCTAGCTTTTTCGGATAAGGACGAAAAATCTCGGAGGTCCCGATAAGAGTAGGCTTGAGCCGTCACCCGGGCAAAATTCAAAATTTTCTGCCATCTCTGGTAATGTATAATCGGGGGCATCAGATGCTCCTCAATGTATGAGCCAAGGGAAATATTGATGAAATCTTAAAGCTTGTTCCGTTGTCTTACTTTGGATGAGATATTGAGGCGTGGGGGTCCAGAGATGGAGGTGTTGGACTTGCAATAAAAAGGTAGTGGGTTCCAATCTCGTCGAGGGTCTGACGTTGTGTCCTCGGGAGATGCATTTTACGAGAACTTTCCTGATTTAACCCAGGTGAGAATGGGTACCAAGATATATCGAGACGAAAATCCTTTATCTGTAAAAAATCACACGGCATCGGCATGACCCTGCCTCATGTAATTTGTATAGCTATGGATAGCGCAAAAAATCGTGACAGTTGAACAGTAAAGATGAACGGTACAGCTCTACTCTAAGGTATCGAATAAAA